CTTCCAGGCGTTTTCTCGGATCGCGCGGGCGAGGGCGCCGCGCGCCGCTTGAGCGGGCGCGCGAGCGCCTGCGCGAATGGCCCCGCCGATGGCGGCATGGCGGAGGGCCCTCGGCTTCCCATTCTTCATCATCATTATCAGTGATCTACGCGTCTCCAAGCCGGGCGGCTCGAAGACCGGCCGTGCAATGCAATTGTGAAGTGAGAGCCCTCATCGCGTCCGAGTTCATATTGAACGCGCTCAGAAAGGTCGCCTGCGCAACGCGGGTTGCCCCGCAGAGGGCCGTCGTCGCAGGCCCCCTGCGCGCGGGGTTCCCAATCGCCTGCGGTCGGAGTGCCAAGGGGAGCTCCTCCTCCGTAGCCAGTATCGTATCATCATCAGAGATGTCCAGCTCGTAACTATCGGAGGACAGAGGTGCACCCGCCATCTCGTGATCCGAGTCGGCGGGCATGTGGTAGTCCTCGATGAACTCGATATGCGCAGGTTGCCCCGCGACAGGAATGCCCCTGTTTGCAAGACCGATCTCATTGTGGCCAACGTAGATTTCCTCGGAGAGCTCGTCGGCATCCCTCTCGAGGGACACGCCGGCGCTAAGATGCCTCGCGGACATCAACTGGGCGGCGGCCGTTGGCCTCTGATTCAGCAATAAGACCCCAATCGACACGCTGCATGTCGGGATCGGTTCGAGCCAGCTGCGTCGACGGACCCCGGCCACCCCCATCGCCGCGGGGGCATTCACGTGGTTTTCCCGTTGGCATCTGTCGAGCTACCCCGACGTCCATTACCTGGTCCTGAGGAGCGCCCACGGCTCCCACCCTTCCCCAGGAAGATTCCTTCATGCTGTAGCCCCGTAAGGGATGCCAAGAATGTTAGCATATCTCTACGATGTAATCTCCGTCGTTTACCCGTACCTCTACCCCTGCCTCTTGCACGTCGCACCTTTTCCGAACTGGTTTCCTCATCATCAATCTCCATCGGCGCTTGTGCTTCTAGTATGCTAGGAATATCCACTGCGCCTGCTGCTCTTCAGTGAGATGCGCAGGCATGTCGGAATAGTCCAGGTTGCCGATTCCCTCGTTCGATGAGGCGTCAGCGTCGGCGCCAGAATCCATTTCGGACTCCGTGGGTTGTCCCGCCGAGCCCAGGAGGGCAGTGGCTTGGGCAGGGGCCGCCTTTGCCGACGGCCCCTGGCATCGAGCCCAGGAGTCTTGCGACCCCGTGGGCTGGCCACCTTGTTGGCTTAATAGAGTGGTGGCCTCGTTTGGTTGTGGATCGCGATTCCAGACGTTGCTGGCAGGCTGCCCCGCATGAGTGTCGCTGTTGCCAGGGGTTCGCCACGCACGCCCTCGCGCGCTCTAACAAGGCGTCAAACTGCTGCTGAGTCCTTGGCATTCGGCGGTTCGATGGTTGTAGTAGTTGCTGCGCACGCGATGCACCAACACCTGGGGCTCTGAACAGTAAAATTGTCAGGATCTGGACAATTGGGATGTTGAAACCCGCGGTGTCGGCTTCGAAGCGTGCTATCTCGAAGCGGGCCAGCGTCTGGCCGATCCGTTCTCCCGCATGGACGCGAACGTCAATGAGAGCCGCTGCCGAATTGAGTTGGTGTTCCTCTTCCAGGTTTTGAAACTTAGTGCTGAGGAGGAACATGATATAGGTGACGCCGTCGGTGTGGCGACCACCAATATTCACGCAGACGTTGATTACTGCGGGGGGTGCACTCATGGCCATGGTCCTTGCAACCCTTCCCAGACCACGCTGTAGAGCGGCAACATGTTGGGAGGGGGCCGTAGTGCCTGCGGTCACGTGGATCCAGGCATGTACCTCGCGAACGAACTCGCGGAAAGGTGCATTACTGGCAGGGTCCCAATGGGGGCCGGTAATACGTGCGTCGTCTCCGCCACGCCGCATGTCCAACAGCGCATCTGATAGCGACCCATAGAAGGCCAACTATAGCAATACCAATCCAATCGCCTCGTAGGTCGTAGTCGGTTGTATGTGGCTGTTGTTTGTGAGGCGACGTTGTCGTCAGCTTGCGTGAGAGTGGAGGCGGCACACTGCCGCATCACATGTTACCATGCATCGTATTTTCGAAGAAATTACCACTTGGAGTGGGTGGGTGGGCTTCAGGAATGTAGTAACGCAGAAAGGCAGGACTCAGGTAGGATACCTCCGCGTGAGCAGAGGCAACCCTGCAAGTGTCCTTGCGATTGTGCATGTTTATTGTATATAGATATATACATTCCTCCGCGCAGAGCCACTGCATCTGATGTTCCACCATGTCAGTAGTCCACCAGATAGTGCCGTGGATGGTGAGGAGTCGAGCTAGAGCTGACCTCCACAGGCCAGCTCCGCTACCAAATTCGAAGCTGGTCGGGAGGCCCAACCAGATTCTTCGCCAAGGCGAAGCCTGTATCCAACTCTGTTACACCGTAGAACGATAGTCCCAAGAGCAGGAGAGAGTCGCGGGAGCGACGGGCCATGACAAGCGGATGCGTTTTCGGCCTCAATGGCAAATCGTGTGCCTCGCCGGTGAGGCACAATCAAATTTTGGCGGCTGGCCGCTTGAACACAAACGGCCGCGGACAAACGCTCGCTACCCTTCGCCTTTGCCCCACCTCCTTTAGAGTCCCAGTAGCTGCCCATCCAAAGACGACCGCTGGGCATGCTCAGGCTCGGGTGTTACTTATGTGTCGGAGGGCAGGTGGGAGTGAGCTAGACGGCTTGCGGGCGGGTGGGTAGCTTGACCCCTCCCCCTACCCACTCACCTTGACCTGGACGGGGGGGGTCGCGAGGTGTCAGGGCGTCCAAGATAGCCTGATATGGCTCCAAGAGGACCTCAGAGAACCCAAGATGGCCTGCAAGATCGTTCAATACAGCTAACAACATGCCTCTCAGAAGCCCCAAGATGGCGACAAGACGGGCTTCAGGTGCTTTGGACACCCCTCAGGACTTCCCGGGGAAGCCAAGATCCTTCAAACACCTAAGGACATCAATGATGTTTGCCTTCTCCCCGTTTCGCTTCCGATGCGTTTTTGATGCGTCAAGGTGGCCCCAAGATGGCCCAAGAGAACTCCAAGAGGGGCCCAAGAGGCCCCCAAAACGGCCCCAAGAGCGCCCAAGATCGCCCTAAGAGGCCCCCCAGAGGCGGTTTCGAGGGCTCTTAGAGGGGGTGACCTAAACAAACATACCCCCCCTTTTGATCGATGGCCTCCAAGATGGCCCCAGGAGGCCCTCCGAAGCTCCCAGGAGAGTCCCAAGAGAGCTCCAAGAGGGCCCCAAGAGGGGGTCCAAGAGGGCCCCAAGACGCCCCAAAAGAGCCCCAAGAGGACTCCAAGAACCCCCAAAAGCTCCAAGAGGACCCCAAGATGCCCCAAAAGAGCCCCAAGAGGACCCAAGACGCCCCCCAAGAGCCCCATAGCTCCAAGAAGGCCTCCGAAGCGTTAAGATAGCCTCCAACATGACTCAACACGTTCCTCCCCCTCCTCTCTTTGACCGCTCTGTTTTACTATATGCATCTCTGCTTTCCATTTCCCGTCAGCTCTCGTGGGCAAGGCTTCTGAATGGGCTGGCGGGGATTCGCGAAACGGAAACAATTGATTTACCCCAGAATCGATTTCTCCGTCGAATCTACAATCAATGAATCTAATGCTCCTCAGATCTACGGAGGTTTCTCTATATTGTTGTATAGATTCGGGGGAAAATCAATGTTGGGGTAAACCAATCCTGTAGTCGATCCCTAGTCGAATGGCAGAGGCAGACAGAAAAGAAGATTTCTCTGACTCGCCTCACCGCGCGCCTCGTCCCCCCCACGATCACCAGTCCCCCCCCCGACAGCGCACAGCAGCCCGTGGCAGCTCCCAGGAGCCCGAGCAGCCTCCAGCAGTCCCTGGCAAGCGGGCCACCAAAAGCTGCTGCCTCGTGACAAGACGATGAAGGCTGGAACGCCTCGGGATACAACTCAGTCCGCAAGAACAGATCGCGCATGAAAGCTGACCTCCCTCCTGCAGTCATCGCACTACCACCTCAAGGAACGCTGGAACGAATGTGTGTGTGTGTGTGTGTGTTCTGGCCACGGCTAGCCTCGGCCACGAACACGCTACCCGACCTACATCTGAAGATTGGCCCGGAAAGCAGAGCCCCTCCTCTTTATTTGCCCCTGTACCGAGGCCACAGGGGTCCTTCTTTCAGCGCCTTGACTGTGCCGACGACAAGCCACTGATGCTCCCCGCCTGCCACAGCATTCCGGCCACGACCACGATGGTAATGATGACGGCGGCGTCGGAGACGATGACGACGACCCGTCCGACCAACGGGGTACTCACGATCAGTGCGACGGATCGGAACGGAGTCGAATCGGCAAGGATCCTGCCTCGGATCGGGCCACCTCTGGCCATCGCTCGGACGTCCTTCCCCTGTGCTTTTTTCGGTTTCGTGCATGGTTTTTTCGCCAAATGATCCAGGATGCTCCTCGATGGTCCTCGCCGAGAAAAAAATGCACACGTCCGAGCGATGCCAAGCGACGAATCGGAGCGGAGTCGAATCGGCAAGGATCCTGCCTCGGATCGGGCCGCATCGGCACGGAGTCGACTTCGAATCAGATCGGCTGCGAGGAGGAGGAGGAGGAGGAGGAGGAGGAGGAGGAGGAGGATGGAGGAGGATGGAGGAGGAGGAGGAGGAGGAGGAGGAGGAGGAGGAGGAGGAGGGGGAGGAGGGGAGGAGGAGGAGGAGGAGGAGGAGGAGGAGGAGGAGGAGGAGGAGAGGAGGAGGATTCTATGGGGAGGGACAAGTGTCCTAATCGACAAGAGGCGCAAGGAATCGACTTCGAATAAGATCGGCTGCGCCATGATACACGACTGTAGGCCGTGCAAGCATCGGGCCACCTCGGATCGCCCGGAAAAAATCGAGATCGAACCGCATCGCGCTGGGTCGACTCGACATCGTAGCATGTCGACCGGATCGAACTGGCTCCTGAGACTGCTGTCCTGCCCCGATTCCTTTTGCGGCGCTTCCTTCTCACGGATGCGACACGTGGGGACTCGAAACCTTCAGGGCCGTGTCCAGAAGCGTGACCTGAGCGCCGCGGTTGTACAAGGAGATCCATGGGATGACACTGTGCAGCCCTCTCGTTGGCAGCCTGGCAGATAAACAAACGCCTGTCGTGTCAACCGAAAATCGAACTTCGGGCTTCTGCGAGTCCCGCAGGTCCACAGCAAGTGTAACAACGCTGCCCGTGTGGAAAATGGGCGCAGCCTTCAACGTGCAGGCTGAACCCTCCGAGTGTGGCGATGCATACAAGTTCTCAATCGACCAGCCTGCTTTCCGCAGGTCTATGTCGCAAGCGTCACTGGCGAACCGCTGTCGGGCGACACCAAGAAAATACCGCATGCGACCTGGCTTGTTGTCGAAACGAAAACGAACCTCCACGACCTGCCCCTGTGCAATCGGAGGGTCAAGGAAACAGACACCTTGCGATGAACGGGTCGCGTTGGCAACGCACCGCAAGCAATTGGGAGCAGAGACGTCGAGCATGGCGCTGCATCCCTGGGGGTCAAATCGAAACCTCTCTGCCGCTGCCGCATGTTGGGCTGGTGGCAGCCACGGCACATTGCATGTTTGGGCACCTGCGGGGGCACCGGCACCCCTCGCTTCTCGCAGAGGCACCTGCTGCAGCGGTCGAGCCAGCGCAGTCGGCGGTGACCGAGGTGGCCGAGCCCCCTCGGCAGCAGCCACAGCACCCCCTGCAGAGGCAAGCGCCGGTGATGGCCGCATCTGTGCACCTTCAGAGCCCACAGGGTCTCGAGGATCCAGAACTGTGAGCACGTCACTCGGCACAGACTCCATCCCTGGCTCGAGGAACCAGAAAGTGCAGAAACATGCACTCTCCGGGGCCCGCGCGGACTTCTTGGATCGGCGCTGGGCCCGAAGGGTGGCGCCTCCGGCGCCGCCCCTGGCACCGGAGGCGCGCTAGGGAGGAGCGTCCAGCGCCGATCCCAGAACTCCGCGCGGGCCTCGGAAAGTTGCTGTCTACGCCATCGTCTGTTCCACGACTGGCGCCACACCGCTCGAAGCCGCTGCAGATGACGCCGCTGCTGCGAGCGGAGGCGTCGGCGAAGGCGCGGGGGCCGCAGAGGCCGCGCGTCCTCGGCGCGCGCCAGTCTCCCTCGCCGGCTTCGCCGCGGACACGGTGATCCCCTTGCCTGCCGCGAAGGTGACGCAGCCCTTGACTTGGACGTGCGTCTTTGGATCGGGGTACCCCCAAGCAGCGTCTTTGATACCTCGCACGTGGTACCACAGCTGCTCACCCCTCGCTCAGGTCCAGCGCTTCGGCGAGGACTCAAAGTGCTTCACAATGCAGTCCTCCAGGGGGAAGTAACCCGTCCACCCCGGGTCGCGGGGGGTAACAAGGCAAGTGATATGGAATCGACTGTCCCTCTCCCCCCTCTCCCCAGCCCGACATCCAATTTGAGAGGGGCCTGCACAGGGAGGCCTACGAGCTCGTCGACGCACCTCCAACTTCCGAGGCCCCCACAATTCACACAGCAGCGCTTTGGCCCAACATGGTCTGGTATTTGCGTCCAAGACCGCCCGAGGCAGCATCAGGCAGCCGCAAACGATCCCAGCTGGCCCCAACGCACGAGGGCACCCGACGGCCGAACAGGAGGACCCCAGAGGGATCTGCGGACCCGCAGAGGGGGAACTGGAGGTTTCTGCATGTGCCCTGGAGATAACCCGCAGTCGGAGGCCTCCCCCGCGCCCCAAGGGCCTCTGAGTACCTCCTCCTCCTCCTCCTCCTCCTCCTCCTCCTCCTCCTCCTCCCTCGTCCTCCTCCGTGCAAGTAGTTAGCTGAGCTGGAAGTTCTCAATGTGGGTTTCTTGCGAGGGTTTCTTGCGGCCGCGCCCACACTGTGCTCCTAGAACATAAAGCCGATATGTGTGTGTGTGCTCCCTTTCTTGGCGTACAAAACAGGACCGTCTCCGCCAGAACTGCTCTAAGGACAGATCGTGCAAGCCACCGCCACTGCTCGATCAACTCCTCTGGCCCGCCCCTCCCAAGGCTCCCCAGGCGGCCCAAGCGGCATCGCCGCGCGCCGCGAGCCCCCCCCCTCTCCCGGGGGCCCGGCAGAGCGGCGCGTGCCTCCCAGCTAACGGCGGTTCGCCACGCGCGCCCGGCACGTCCTCGCCACCTCCACGCCGCCAGCGCGGGCCACGACGACGGCGCCCGAGCCGGCCGCGGCGGGGTCGTCGACCGCGGCTGCGCTGCCGAGCTGCAGCAAAAGAGGAGAGAACGGCACGAGTTACGTATTCGATGATAGACCCCTGGTTACCCACCGCAGCCCTGGGCGGTCTTCGAAGGTCTTCTGGCGGCCTTCGGCGGCCTTCTGGCGGTCGTCGGCGATTTTCCGCTGATTCCGCTGGTTTTCAGCAACAGCTGGATAGTTGCGGCGAACAACCCAGGCCCCCGACATCGCGATTTTTGTCACAACGTCGACCCCCAGAAGTCAGGACCGCTTCCCTGGGACCGGTTTTTCGTCCTGGACGGTCCTGGGGACGGGGAAAGGCCCATAACGGAGGACGAAAGCAGCGAAAAACCTCCCGTCGTGATTTTTTCACAACGCGAGGAGGTCTGGGAAGGGGTCCAGGATCGAACACCTGACACACGCGCAAACTTTCGGAACTCCGCGCGAACTTCTTGGATCGGCGCTGGGCCCCCCTCCAGGGGCGGCGCTGGAGGCGCCGCGAAAAGGGGGCCCCGCGCAGATGCAAGAAATCCGCACAAGCCGCCTAAAATTTTCAGCGGCAACTCATTGGAGCCTACCTCTTACCATCTTCTTGCGAATTCGACGCTGGTCGACGCTGAATCGGCACTTCCTCATCGATTACCAGACGCCAGCGCATGCGAACGCACTCTTAAAACGGAATTGGGGACACCAACAGGTACCGATACCGCTACTCCCTGGACCTCTCCCGGGGCGCGTTCTCACCAGGATTTCGAGGCGAATCCAGCGGTGGCGACGAGGGCCTCCCAGGAGGCCCAACAAGGGGAGAACGGGGGAAGGGTGGGGGGCTCTCGTCCTCGTCGTCGCTTGCCTCGTCCTTTTCCTCTTCTTCTTTCTCCTCCTCCTCCTCCTCCTCCTCCTCCTCCTCCTCCTCCTCTGAGGACCTGCGGGACACGCAAGGCTCCCATGATTTGCTACGGCCCCGAGACCCCAGGGACGCCCATCGCTCCTTGGTGCGAAAGGTCACGCTCTCCATAGCCAGACCGTCGACACCCACGAAACCCGGGGCACCCTGGAGGCAAGCCGGGTGCCTCTTGTAGGGGGCCAAATGCGAACCCCCCTACCCCCCACGATTTCTGAGGGGGAGGGTGGGGTTCACGTCGTTCGGAAGCTCCCGAGCGAAATGAACCCCACCCTCCCCCTCAGAAATCGTGGGGGATGGGGGTAGGGTTCGCATGTGGCCCCCTATCTTGGCGTGGGCCTCCACTGTGCCGAACAAGCCGATGCCCGAGCCGTTTATCCCTCCTCGGATGCACCGCCTCCAGCGGGTCGTCGCAGCGCCGGCCCTTGCGCTGCCTCCACTCCGCCACGCGGGCCCCGCTGCCGCTCGGCGTCGGCGCGGGGCGCATGGGCGAGCACGCCGCAGAGGGGCAGCCCGAGGGGGGGGCGCCGGCTGCGCTCGGAAGCGCGAGGGGCGCTCGTGGCCTTTCACGGAGCAGGAGAACACCAAAGAACACCCTCACAGGAGGCACCCCGACGAGCGAGGGCGTTTCGCCAGCGCACCCCGGGGGCGGGAATCGAGCAGGGCAGGGCCGTGTCTCGCCGCCGCGCCTCGATGGTCCTCGCCGAGGAAGGTGCGCGCAGGTCCGAGCGATGCCAGGTGGTCAAGGCCCGGGGCCGTGTGGCAAACGCCGGTCGTGGGGGTCGGTGCGGTCTTTCCTCCCGTGACTGCAGGGCGCCCAGGGCAGGAGCCGCCCGTGGGCAAGACACCGTGACGCGGCGAAGCGGTCGCGCCGCCCTGCGAGGCGCAGGGTGCGGCGCAAACCGAAAGCACGGACGGGGGGGGAGGAGCGATGATACAGAAAACGTCTTCTGTCACTGGGGAGGATCTGCGGCGGCGGAGGGGGAGGGGGCAGGAGCGCGAGGAGGGGGAGGAGGAGGAGGAGGAGGAGGAGGAGGAGGGGAGGAGGAGGAGGAGGAGGACAGGAGGAGGAGGGAGGAGGAGGAGGAGGAGAGGAGGAGGAGGAGGAGGAGGAGGAGGGGGAGGAGGAGGAGGAGGAGAGGAGGAGGAGGAGGAGGGAGGAGGGGGGGAGGAGGACGAGGAGGAGGAGGAGGAGGACGAGGAGGAGGAGGAGGAGGAGGAGGAGGACGTCGCAAGAATCTCAGGCAGCTCGCCCCCATCCCCGGGGCTCCCGGGCCCCGCCGCGCGGGCCGCGCCGACGACCGGCTCGTGGGCAGGTGGGCCTCCGACGCCGTGCTGTCTCAAGGCACGGGCCCGGGAACTTCCGACCGCACCCCTGGAGGAGCAGGCAACGGCCTAACCTCAGGTCGGGCGTGTCCCCCGACAGGCGGATTTGGGACGAAGCATAAAAGGTCCAGACATACAAAGCAACAGTGCTCATGAATGCTCAAAACGAAGCGTCCCCAGCCTGTTCTCTCACTATTCTTGAAGACTCCTCCTGTAGAGGGACAGGCCCCACTGAAGCACAACCAGAACCTCTCGGAGCTCCGCGAGGACTTGCTGGATCGGCGCTGGACCCCCCCTCTCCCTGGCGCGCGGAGTGCGCCAGGGGCCAGGCGCCGCCGATGGGGGGGGCCCAGCGCGGATCCAGAGATCCCCATGGCCAGCGCCGAGAATTCTGGGGGCACACGCCGGTCGGAAGACGCAGGTAGACACTTTTGGTCTGCGGGGCGAGAGCGAACCTCTTCCGGCAAAAGCTAGGCGGGCTACGCACAGCTCTCATTGGGGACACAAGGCACAGGTGGGCGGGGCCTCACGCAGAAGAAGCAGGTGAACACATGGAGTGGGAAGGCGGACAGAAAGAATTGGGCTCCGACCCCCCCGGAGAACAGCAAGACAGAGCAGGAGCAGATCGAGGATCGAAGCAGGAGGGCGCTGGAAGCAGATTGGGCCCTGGTAATCCCAGGCGATCTACGTGCAACGACCGACGCCCATGCCGCTTTTTTGGGCGTCGACCCCCAGAGACCCGTGCCCCGCCGCGCGGGTCGCGGTCCTGTTGGGTGGCTGGTGGGGCCGCCGGGCGCCGAGGGGTCGCAAACGGAGGGCGCGCGAGGCGCGCTCGTGCGGCCCCTGGCCTCCGCCCGTGCGCCTCGCGCATGCCCGCTGAGAGTTGGCGCGGGGCAAACCCGGATATCCGACGAGTTGGGGGAGGAGGAGGAGGTGGAGGAGGAGGAGGAGGAGGAGGAGGAGGAGGCGGAGGAGGCGGAGGAGGCGGTGGAGGAGGAGGAGGAGGGGAGGAGGAGGAGGAGGAGGAGGAGGAAATGATGATGAGCAGGAGGAGGAGGAGAAGGAGGCAGGAGGAGGAGGAGAGAGGAGGAGGAGGAGGAGGAGGGAGGAGGAGGAGGAGGAGGAAGGTGCCCTCTTGTGGCCCTAAAGGCCCCCTGCCGGGCCCTGCAGGGCCCTTTTAGGAGCCCTCCGAGGCTCCTTTCTCGGCCCTCGCTGCCCCCCTCACTTGTCGCCCCCCCTTACGCGCCCCCCCAAGCGCTTTCATTGGCGACCAGCCCTGGGGGGAATGAAAGGGGGCGGGCCTGCTCAGCATACTCGGAAGTCCCCTGGCCTTCGGAGACAAACTCTGAGCCTTTCCCGAAGACACAACAAGCTTCTCAGAAGGCCGGAGGGCTTCTGAGAAGCCCGCCGCCTTCTGAGAAGGTCTTCTGCTTCTCACTTTCCCCCTCGCTCGCCGACGATCTTAGGTGTTCACTCCGGGCGTTCTTCCTCAATCTCGGCCTCGTGGGGCCCATTGTCGGGCCCCCGGGCCCAAAACA